AACTACACGATTGAAGGCTCTACTCACTTTATGAAAAGGGATTATTTTGTTGAAGCTTCTTATTTTCATGATATGATTTACATATGGGATTCTCTGTTTTTTTTTTTTTTTTTTTTCTGTTGTTTGGATGCTGAATTAGATGACCAGAATCTTATAATAATCACCATAATCCCCTGGCAATTCATAGAGTATTTGTAAGTCCCCAACACTTTTTTATGTTATCTTTAATCTTGACATAATTTTCTAAGAGAGGTCTTAATTTACTCATTTTACAGATGAGAAAAATAAGTTATCTGCCCAAGATCACACAGCCAGTAAGTGACAGAGCTTATTATTGTTATTACTGGCAGCAGCAATAATTGTTTATAGTTGTGAAAGCTTTGTGCTAGAATTCGGAAAAAATAAATGATACGCATGGGAAGATGGTGTGCCTGAATTCATTTACAGCTTTAAAAAGATATGAAATGAAGACTGAGGGCTTTAGGGTCATGGGAAGCTTCTATAATCTCTTGACAAATCAAATATTTTGACATCTATTATCACCCATTTTTTTTCCAATTGGTAAAGAGAGAAAAGTTTTGTTTATTTACATACATGGATTTCCAAAATTTGTTACTTTGGATCTTTTATCTTATGGAGTGAATGAGTACTTTTTTTCTTCTAATTAGTTTTTAAACTGATTGAAAAAATCTACTAGTTTACAAATTTTACAAGCGTGTATTATTTCATGTACAGACATTGAAAAATGACCATTTAGAATATTTGTACTCAGTCATCCCATTCAGATACAAATAAAGAAGGCAAAGTTACCTTCCTAAAGCTGAAGGTAGCCTTCCAGTGAAGTGTATTTCAGAACTTGGAATAGACAAAGCTGTTATAATGTGGACATCATTGTTTGTGGGAGCTGATAAGGTCAGATTAGACAGAAATTAATACCGTACAAAATTCCTGTATGTAATATGTAATTCCTCTTACATATAGAAATGAAATAAATTGATATTGTATTACTGGATGTAATAGAAGTTTATAAATAGTGAGTACATAATCTTTACCAAATTAAAGAAGAGCATATTGGGGAAGCTTTTCTCAATGAATTGATGTGCATTATGCACTCAGGTTATGCCCCCCTGCAAATCTGTGCTATGCACTATATGAGAGCACTTGCGAGACATGTATTTAGAAATCCTTACATCCCCATGACAATCTATAACATCCCTTCACAACACTTGCCAGTTTTAAATTGTCCTTGTATTTCAACGATCAGTTGACTAGTGGCCAGCTCTCTCACTGGGCTGCAGACTTCTTGATGGCACGGACCACACTTGATTTGCTCACCATTGGATCTGTCTGGCATGGTTTCTGGCACATAACATGTACTCATGTCATAGTTGTTAAATAATTGTTAAGTAAGTAAACAAATTCTTGCTTTGCTGGGATTATAGTCTGAGAAGGAGGCAAGCTAGACACAACACCTCTATGCCTCTTACCCTCACAGGTGGAAGAGGACTGTGCTGGTGGCTTGTGTGCCCCCAGAATCTCCAAGTCCTTCCAATTCTTGCCTGCAAGTAGAAGAAGGGTGGGATAAAGCATCTGGCATGTCCATGTTACAGTCAACATGAGGACAGAGACTTTCAGTTTCTCGGACAAAAAGGGAATTTTTTCACCTGAGTTGGGGTCAGGTAGCCGAGGGTATTCAATAACCTTTTTAGGAGAGGGGCTGTGAAGCTCCCTATTATAAACTTCTGGGGGGCCAACTCACTTCTGCTGTCCTCCTACCTGGCTAAGGTGGGGCCTGGGCAAACTTTAGGGAATCCCCTATTCACTCCTTTTAAAACAGAGTTCTTTTTTTTTTCTTTCTTTATTTTAAATTTTATTATATTATGTTAATCACCATACATTACATCATTAGTTTTTGATGTAGTGTTCCATGATTCATTGTTTGTGTATAACACCCAGTGCTCCATTAAATGTGTGCCCTCTTTAATACCCATCACCAGGCTAACCCCTCCCCCACCCCCTCCTGTCTAGAACCCTTAGTTTGTTTCTCAGAGTCCATCATCTCTCACGGTTCATCTCCCCCTCCAATTCCCTCCCCCTTCATTTTTCCCTTCCTACTATCTTCTTTTTTTTTTTAACATATAATGTATTATTTGTTTCAGAGGTACAGGTCTGTGATTCAGCAGTCTTACACAATTCACAGCACTCACCTTAGCACATACCCTCCCCAGTGTCCATCACCCAGCCACCCCATCCCTCCCACCCCCCACCACTCCAGCAACCCTCAGTTTGTTTCCTGAGATTAAGAATTCCTCATATCAGTGAGATCATATGATACATGTCCTTCTCTGATTGACTTATTTTGCTTAGCATAATACCCTTCAGTTCCATCCACGTCGTCGCAAATGGCAAGATTTCGGGGTTTTTTTTTGATGGCTGCGTAATATTCCATTGTATATGTATACCACATCTTATTTATCCATTCATCTGTTGATGAACATCTGGCTCTTTCCATAGATTGGCTACTGTGGACATTGCTGCTATAAACATTGGGGTGCACGTAGCCTTTCGGATCACTACATTTGTATCTTTGGGGTAAATACCCAGTAGTGCAATTGCTGGGTCATACGGTAGCTCTATTTTCAGCTTTTTGAGGAACCTCCGTACTGTTTTCCAGAGTGGCTGCACCAGCTTGCATTCCCACCAACAGTGTAGGAGGGTTCCCCTTTCTCCGCATCCTCGCCAACATCTGTTGTTTCCTGACTTGTTAATTTTAGCCATTCTGACTGGTGTGAGGTGGTATCTCATTGAGGTTTTGATTTGGATTTCCCTGATGCCGAGCGATGTTGAGCACTTTTTCATGTGTCTTTAAAACAGAGTTCTAAGTTTCTAACGTGGAAATGAGTGCGGAAGTGGGCCCCATAAATGGACTTTTTATAGCCAACTTAGGTGAAATGTTGACTGCATTTTCTGTATATTGAGAGATGATTGGCAACAGGAAGCCAACTTGAATAATAATTCAGCCCAATTAAAGAAGGATATATGAAAAGTAGTTTTAGCTTTCAGTGTAGGAAACTTCATGTTGGAGAGAGAGCCAGTTATAAACAGGCCCTTGGTTTATATTTATATTTTAGAGGACATGATTAATTCTTTTTTTTTTTTTTAAAGTTTTATTCTAAAGTAATCTCCACACCCAATGCGGGGCTTGAACTCACAACCCCAAGATGAAGAATTGCATGCTCCACCAACTGAGCCAGCCAGGGGCCTCAAGGACATGATTAAGTCTTAAAATAATGAACAAAATAACAAAACAAGCATAAATTAAACTGCATGTGCTATATAAAAACTTGTTTTATTCCCCCAAACATATATTTAGGTAAAATACATAAATAGGTAGAAGCTTTAATCCCAATGAAGTTCTGGAAGCAGTGAAGTCATGCATCATAACTTGGTATGTGATATTTAAGTGACCTTATTATAAAAGACCTTTGGAATGATATGTCAGGAAAGGAGCAGATCTACAGGACCAGAGGAAGCAATCAATTCCCTATGTGGATGTCACTCTGCCTCGGGATCGCTGAAGTCTAAATTTGGGAAGAGCTGACAGGAACCTGGCTGATGCCATTCGCCACAGACCTGCAGGGAGAAGCAAGCTAGTCCTGGAGGCTTGTGGTCCTGGAGAAAGGACATCAGGGCTTTAACAGCTCCCTCAGAATGCTTTTGTTATACAGTTTCTTCCTCTATCCCTTTATCCAGGTTGTCAATTTTACTCTCCCTAGACCCGACCGATGATTTCAATGATCCCTTCACAATAATCCTTGGGTCCTGGTTCTGATCAGCAAACTGGATGTTTGTTTCATTTTTCAGATATTCCCTTGATTGGTTCCTGGTTCCTGGTCTCCATATTTTGCATTTTTTCCTAAAAGAACAGCATCTGCCACATGCCATATCAATCCTGTAATTGATCCAAGTCCTTTTATATTTGATTAGTCTTCTGAAAGCAATGAGAGTGTCATTCGCTCTCTTAAAAATTTGGTTTCTCTGGATGTCTGTCTGTACTCCAGTGTAGCTAAAATCCTCAAATTTGTGATGCCCACAAATGGGCACACCATCTGAACAAATAGATACGCATTTATATGCCTGCATTATCCTTATTTGAAAAATCAGTGGCCAAAATACAATATTTTACAAATTCTAATTCCCCGAAGTAGAGGATTTGTAGATGTAAGAGTTGACAATTTCAGTCCTCTACATGTGCTTCTTTGTGATTCTTTTCAAAAGTGTATCCTGTTTGGGTGTAAGTTTTCCAAAAATAAGCCATAACCATAAAAAAAAGTTAAACTAAATCCATAAAAATATGTTTAATTAAGTGCAACTAACTGGCATGTTCATTGACTTCTGATACATAAAGGAGAAAGTAGGCTTTATTAATGGAAATGGATATAGAATCAGAATTTCAGAATAAGAAGACATTTTTGAAGGGTGCCTACGTGGCTCCAGTTGGTTAAGCATCTGACTCTTGGTTTTAGCTCAGGTCATGATCTCAGGGTCAGGAGATTGAGCCCTCCACTGGGGAGTCTGCTTGGGATTCTTTTTCTCTCTCTCCATCTTCCCCTTAGCCTGCTTGTGCTCTCTCTCTCTCTAAAAAAATAAGCAAATCTTTAAAAAAAAAAAGAAGACATTTTTGAGCATCTGGTTTTACATTCTTGTTCTTTGAAGAAATTTAGTGTCTTGTTATTTCTCAGTCTTTTGGCTGGGGATGGAGAATAGACTTGTCCAACTTTATAGAGTTATTAGTATCAGAGCTGAAATTAGACCAAGTTCTCCAGACTCTTTTGTCATCATGCTACTTCACCAGCTAAACATTGACATGGATTTGTTTGGGAAATGTGTTATCATACTGTATAAGCAGAGGGGTGGAGATGAGAATGAGCACAGATGAGTGGTAAATAGTGGGGTAAGGAGGTGACTAACTGTATTTTTTCCCATTCTTCTTCTTATAGAGAAATTTTCAAACTCAAAGAGGTCGCCTTGACTATGTTTGGAAAATTGGATGATGAAACCTCATGAACACTATTGACGTTTGTGTAAAAGGTATGTAGGCTCAAGTATCTCCTCAAATTGAAAACTTGTTAGTTTTCTTGAAAAGTAGACTGGCGTTCAAAGATTTTCTAATAATTCGTTTTCTGGTGCTGATGTAAGAGGAAGCAGAAGTGAGCTTACACTGAAAAAACTGATGAAAAGGAAACACGTTCCTAACAAGGTAATCTTTTGCCTAATCAAAAAAATAGTTTTGGTAGGGAGGAAAATGGTTTTTAAAAGAGGTGTGAATCTCTAGATGATACTCTACAATCTTCCAGATACAGGTTTAAATGCATATTTCAACATTCACTTAAAAGGCAATAGTTTTAAATGAACAATTTATTTATTTATTTTTAAAGGTTTATTTATTTGAGAGAGAGAGTGTGCATGTGTGCAAGGAGGGGAGGGGGAAGGGGTAGAGGGAAAGGGAGAAAGAGAATCCTTAAGCAGACTCCCCACTGAGCATGGAGCCAGGTGGGTGGCAGGGCAAGGCTTGATCCCAGAACCCTGAGATCGTGACCTGAGCCAAAATCAAGAATCTAGAGTCAGCTGCTCAATAGACTGAGCCACCCAGGAGCCCCTAAATGCACAATCTAAATTTCACATATATGGAGACTTCAATCTACTCTGAATCTTCTCCCCTAGCACTGTCTTCCACACATTCTTAATCTTTCTTTAGCCCCCTCTTCAGTCCTAATGTGTTGGAAGCTCACCAATCTCACAGGTCATGTTCAGAGATAGCAGCTATGAGAGGCAAAAATACCAGGGCTTCAACTTTGTCCAAGTTCAAGTGAACACGAGATCACAGGAACAAGAGTGGACACGAGGTGTTTGCAGACATAGCATACAGGACAGGTCAGTGGAGCTTTCCAATAGTTCCTTTGGGTTGACTTCATGTCTATGAGCACATGGGTTGTTGTTTGTTTTTTTTTTTAAGTAAACATAAAATAATAAAGCCACGTTTCAGGGCATTAAGTAGATAAATTGAGGAAAAATTTTTAACCAAAAATAATTATGCCTCATTTAGATCTCATGAGCTATTGCTATTTGACAAAGCAGCTGCAGTTTTAAGTAATGGCCAAGTGGGAGCTATATGCACTTTCCGTGCTAGGAGTTGATTATAAATACTGACCTATTGCTCTAAGTAACGTATTAGCCAATCCTTCCTTTGAAGGAAAATACATACATAAAATCCTTTTAAAACCCCTATGGGGTATGTGAGTGTGGGGGGGGGGGGGACCGGTGAGAGTGGGGGAGTGAGGGGTGCTGTGTATATGTGCGTGTTTTTAGGGGGTGGGTGGGCAGGGGCATGGAAAGGCCTTACTGTAGGCAGTCTGTGTTGTAGTGACAATAATATTTTGAATATTCCTATGTGCAAATTGGTGAATCTCAAATTCATGTTGTAACAGGGCTCCTAAAAAACATTTTAACATAATTTTAAGAGGCTGAGTTGATTTAAAAACTGTCATGATGAGTACAGTTGTCAGATATAATATAGAACACCCAGTTAAATTTGAATTTCAGATAAACAGCAAGTACATTCTTAGCATAAGTTTAATCCCAAAGACTGCATGGCATATATTTATACTAAAAATTTATCATTGTTTAGCTGAAATTCAGATTTAAGTGGGTGTCCTGAATCTTTATTTGCTAAATCTAGTAAGCTAATAACTAAGTAAATTATGAAAGTCATGCCTTCAAAATTATTTAGTAGAGCCTAGCTTGAAAATGTGCTACTTCAACATAAAGGAGCTGTTCGTCAACACTTGAGAAAGTTACGATGTGCGGTTTTGCAATACCAAAAAGCTCATGTGCCTGATTTTTGCCTCTTTCTTGTTTTATTTTATTAAACAATACCACTCCAAAGCCCTTGCAGTTATATGCATTCACTTTGAGGGAGGATGCCACATTTTAGCTATTCCCTTATCCTTGAAGACAAAAGCTTTGAAAAATTAGGACCATGTTGGAGTCCTAGATACATAAAGTCTGCTCTCCAGCAAAAAGCAATGTATTGTTTCAAGCTGATTTTCCCCCTTTTCCTTGGGAGAAAAGTACAGCATCTTAAACTAAAGCACACTTCAGCCGTCCCCCTGCGCTTGCTTGGGCCAGCAGCCACAACACAGGCCTTTCATCTAGGCTTCAAAGTGTGGTGGAGGGAGTTGGGGGGAGGGGAGTGGGGAAGAAAGGGAGGGCAAGTTGAATGCAAAAAAAGTAACAAACAAACAAAAAAGAAAAATGGAATGGGCTGGGTAGAAGGAGAAGTCTCCAATCTTTCGATGATCACGTCCCCGCAGCCTGGCCGGACTTCGAGAGGCAAAACCCTCACAGGTTTCCCCTGTTGTGTTTTTTTTTTTTTTTTTTTTTTTTTTGTCGTTCCTGCCACTTCCCATGCTGGGAAGATTCTTGTCATCCCTCACATATTTTATCCACAGAAAAGGCTGCCCTGCCCTGGGCTTGGTGATGGAGGCTGTGCCCCTGGTGTGCCACTCTATCACTGGTTCCCAAGGCTGTCTAGCCTGGGAAAAGCTGCATGGACACGTTCCAAAATCAGCATTACATGCATCATTGTTCTTACCCTCCCTGATTAGAGTGCACACAATGAAAACAACAGCAACAGCCTCGTTTTCTAGCCCTCCTCCCCACAAGGCAGTTCTTAGTCTGTTTTTCTTTCTCTGGGTCTTCCTACAAGTTAACCGCTTCAGTGCTGGGGGAGTCCTGGACCTCACAGCAACTGCCCTGCCAAGTCGCTTTGTGCTTCTGGGAGGTCACCCACGGCCCTGGGGCAGCGCGGGGAGGCAGGCAGGCTTGCCCTTCTCCTGGAAATCTGGGCAAAGCAACTAATGGGGGGCGAGAAGTCCAAAGCTGTGTGTGGTGCTGCTGGGGCTGCTGTGGGCAGGCGTCCCGGGACAGCTCCTTCCAGCCCTGAGCGTGGTGAGGGGCTCTGAGTTTCTGATCTGGAAAGTGGGGACAGATGGAAAGAAGTGGAGCTGGGGGTCCTGGTGTTTTAACTCTTGAAGCCTTCAAGAATCTTTCCGCGTGAAACCTGCTGGGTTTAGTTGTTGAGTCTCAATTATCCACAGGAAACTCTTCTCATCCTCCTTTGGAACTTTTGAGTAAAATCTTTATAAACATTTGCAAGCATGTGGGGATATTGGGTGGGGAATGGCAATTTTTACTTCAAAAGCTATAGGGCAAATCCAAGTCCTATTATAATAAATATTAAAATGAAAATTCTGTTACAAAGGGAAAAAAAAGAAGGAAAAAGACCTCCAATATGCAGCTTGTGACTTCTTTGTTTAAAATAACAAAGGCGGGGCGCCTGGGTGGCTCAGTTGGTTAAGCAACTGCCTTCAGCTCAGGTCACGATCCTGGAGTCCCGGGATCGAGTCCCACGATCGAGTCCCGGGATCGAGTCCCACATCAGGCTCCCTGCTCGGCGGGGGGTCTGCTTCTCCTTCTGACCCTCTTCCCTCTTGTGCTCTCTGCCTCTCATTCTCTCTCTCTCAAATAAATAAATAAAATCTTTAAAATAACGAAGGCTACATGACATTCCAGTATAACTGAAGAATTCGAATGTTTCTCTGGATTATAGTGTAACATAGTTGGCCTGACTTTTGTGAAGAGTGTGAGTGGATGAGGGGCTATGTGAGGCTGTGTGAGCATGTGGTAGTCCACTCAAAGCTGTAACTTAAGCTGTTTATAGACTGCACACGGAGCCCGTGCACACACCCAGAGTCCCAGCCCCAGTGGAGGACTTTAACTCAGATGTGGAGACTGACATTACTGGCTGTGTTTCTGGTATCTGTCCTGAGACCAACATTACATATGCTTATGATCTGGATGAGGGATTGGTCATGAAGTTGCCTTCAGCCCAGTCAGAAAGATGAAAGGCCGAGGTTTACTTTTGAGTCACTATCCTTGACTTTTAAGAACTTTTAGGACACAAAACAAGTAGAGAATGACCCTAAGCATTGTGAGTTCTTAGAATGCGGTACGTCGCGGGTGCTGCGCAAAGGTTTCCTCCTGGCTGAGACCGATGTCACTTTGCTGCTACTTAAATAAAGAGCCACAGGGTTGCTATTAGAAAACTGTTGTCTTTTATTGACTTATACAAGTGAAGAGGCTTCCTTCCTCTTCCTTTTCTCCGTCTCCTCCTTCCACATGAGGCCAGATGCAGGATGGCTGTAATTGACATAATACTGTTAGCCAATTTCTGATAAATGACATCTTGGGGTCCACACATCACATCCATTTTCCAGAAGTTTAACTGTTGGTCACTTATTTGTCTCCCTGCAAATACATAAGATGTCCAGTGTCTCAAAAACAAATAAGTGAACAAAAACTCCAAATCATAACCTGAACTGTGTCACTTGACCAAGACATGATTTTTCTTGCCAACCATAAAAAATCTCACGGTGAGAATTGAGATAGAGAGTTATAGTATGATGCTTGAGACAAGAGTAGACTTAGTTTGTCTAAGAGAAGCAGAATTGGTTCTGGTTTCCAAGGCTGTAAGTGTCCTTTTTATAAGGAAAGCTTATTTCTTGGGACTCAGGATACAGCTAAGGAGGAGATGCAACAAACACCGTGTCATCCTATAGGCTTTTTCTCTACTTCCTAACACTCTGAATATAAATGTTTGTTGGGATGAAGTTAGACTGTTTACAGTATTACATTATGTCACTCACATTTCTTTCCTAGAAATAGAACTGCTTGTTGGCACTTGCACTAGTACCTCAGGTCGACTCTTCTTGAGTACATATGCAAGCAATCTTGGTGCAGAGATCTTCCTTATCCATAGCCCCAGCTTATCCTGAATGGTTCTTGATGTGGGAAACAAAGGCAGAAGAAAAATTATTAAATTTCCTCACTACCTACAGCCCATTGACAAGTCCTTGAAATAGGCAGAGTGACCTTCCTCTAAGGACTCAGCTGCCTGGATGTTAGTTCTTTGCTAAGGGCAAAAGACAATCTTACCATGACCCCCAGGATCCTGTAAGTCTACTTTGACC